TATATCAAAACACGAAAGCATCACCACTTTGCGTCTGACGGTTTGGCTATATCAAAACATGAAAGCATCAACATTTTGCGTCTGACGGTCTGGCTATATCAAAACACGAAAGCATCACCACTTTGCGTCTGAAGGTGTGGCTATATCAAAACACGAAAGCACCAACACTTTGCGATTGACGGTCTGGCTATATCAAAACACGAAAGCATCACCACTTTGCGTCTGACGGTTTGGCTATATCAAAACATGAAAGCATCAACATTTTGCGTCTGACGGTCTGGCTATATCAAAACGTGAAAGCATCAACACTTTGCGTCTGACGGTCTGGCTATATCAAAACGTGAAAGCATCACCACTCTGCGTCTGACGGTTTGGCTATATCAAAACGTGAAAGCATCACCACTTTGCGTCTGACGGTCTGGCTGTATCAAAACATGAAAGCATCACCACTTTGCGATTGACGGTCTGGCTGTATCAAAACATGAAAGCATCACCACTTTGCGTCTGACGGTCTGGCTATACCAAAACACGAAAGCATCAACACTTTGCGTGTGACGGTCTGGCTATATCAAAACATGAAAGCATCAACACTTTGCGTGTGACGGTCTGGCTATACCAAAACATGAAAGCATCAACACTTTGCGTGTGACGGTCTGGCTATACCAAAACAAGAAAGCATCACCCCTTTGCGTGTGACGGTCTGGCTATATCAAAACATGAAAGCATCACCACTTTGCGTCTGACGGTCTGGCTATACCAAAACACGAAAGCATCACCACTTTGCGTCTAAAGGTCCGGCTATATCAAAACTTGAAAGCATCACCACTTTGCGTGTGACGGTCTGGCTATATCAAAACACGAAAGCATCAACACTTTGCGTCTGACTGTACCAAAACGTGAAAGCATCACCACTTTGCGTGTGACGGTCTGGCTATATCAAAACACGAAAGCATCAACACTTTGCGTCTGAATGTGTGGCGATGTTAGCTTACTATTTCCGCCTGATGGTGTACTGTTTGTCCTAGGAGGTATCGTTATATAAGAAATATAGACAGAAGAAGCGGAATGCCACATCTGACTGAGTTGGTGCCAAATCTGTGAAATGTCGTTCAACCAAATGCCAGAAAAGATGCACCGAACACGGGGGTTCAGCTAGTATTGCTGTCGAACCCCGGGAGACAAACAGATGATTTGGCATACCAGGTGATGAGGGCGGCATGTGTAGACTGATATGTGAGAGAAGCAACCCGACAAAGTAAGTTTCCACAGCAACAACTGTCGATATTTTACATGTTTGAAAATGTGAGCTTGGGGAATGATATAAGAAGACAGAAGCAAATAACCATGATACTGTGAGTGAGTGAGTGAGTATGGTTTTACGCCGCTTTTAGCAATATTCCAGCAATATCACGGCGGGGGACACCGGAAATGGGCTTCACACATTGTACCCATGTCGGGAATCGAACCCGGGTCTTCTGCGTGACGAGCGAACGCTTTAACCACTAGGCTACCCGACTGCCCCCATGATACTGTGTCTGAGTGAGGTATCCATGTCAAACTGCGGCATGGTATCTCAGTGGGCTAGCACTACAAACCCGGTATAAGTCTGGACAAGTACCAGCGGTCCAGAAACGCACATGCACGCACGCAAAATCATGCACGTGGTGATGTAAGTACAATGATCTTGAACTTAACGTCAAACCCTATTTCACCTCACCACCTCACTGGGGGCGGTCGGGTAGCCTAGTGGTTAAAGCGTTCGCTCGTCACGCCAAAGACCCGGGTTCGATTCCCGACATGGGTACAATGTGTGAAGCCCATTTCTGGTGTCCCCCGCCGTGATATTGCTGGAATATTGCTAAAAGCGGCGTAAAAAACCATACTCACTCACTTACTCACTGATGTATGCATATCGGGAACATCCACCTAAGACCTGTTTTGGCCCCTCCCGACTGTTGAATCAAGATACAATGTTAGACAAGATTTGATGCATCAGTGAGGAAAAGGATTTTTGATAAAATTCCCCATTTTGACAATATGCTACAGTCCTTTTTCAGGTGAACAACTGACATGCCTTTGCATGTGTTTGTGATGGGTGCCACCAGTGGGTCAGGATACGCTTTCCTTTTCGCGAACACCTGTTGTCATTATTCTAGAGTGATTCATAAACACATGATATAGTCGGAATCGGACACTGGACTTTCTTTCTTGGACTAACGCCGTGATATAACTGGAATACTGTTAAAAGCGGCGTTAAACCCAACACACTCACTCACTTTCTTGGACTAAGGGTTCTGTCGTTTTTCTTAAAATGTAATTATAAACTGTCTCCTAGAAATTCAACGCATTCAAACTTTCTTCTCTTGAGGTGAGGTGAGGTGAAATTGGGTTTAACGTCGCGTCCAAGATTATTGCACTTATATAGCGACGTGCATGCACGTGTGTGTCTGTGGCTGCTTGTACTAGTCCGGACTGATGCCGATTTATAGTGCAAGCTCACTGAGATACCATGCCGCAGTTTAACATGAATACCCCACTCAGACACAGTATACTGACTCCGAGCCGACCAGTCCTTGTTTTAGCCCCTTAATGTCGAGCGCCAGACAGGGTAACAACAAGTACCATCTTTTAACGTCTTTTGGTATGACGCGGCCGGGGATCGAACCCCGGACCTTCCGCTCTCCGGGCGGATGCTCTACCACTAGACCACGGAGGCGGCCCTTCTTCTCTTGTAGGGAAAGGGTAAGACATTAAAGGCTGTGAGATTAATATGCTTATAAAAGTTTTGTCGGTCATATTTTTCCAAGCCATCACTCGCGTCACTTTAAAATAATCTGAATAATCTGATTTTAATTAATTCTGCTATGGGAGGAATTTCATATTATGAAAGAAAGCTGTAGGGGTATTGGAAACAATAAACGAACTTGTTCCCGCTGGGTTCGCGAATAATGCAACGCTGTGCCGAGCAAAATTCACTTTTTCACTCATCATCTCTGACGTTTGAAGCGGGCGAGCATGTGCACAGCGCTTCCCTTCTGGCTGGTTTCAGCATGCTCTTTATTAGTTAAGTCAGACATGGTGCAATCTCTACTGACCCGAGATAAGGAGACTTTACACTGCGGGAAGGAAACCCGTTCACAAGGAAGATGAATGAGTTGGTTGGGCTTAAGGATGGCTGGGTAGGTGAACAATTGACATGCCATTGCATGTGTTTGTGACATGTGCCGCCTGTGAGACAGGATATGCTAAAATTATCGCGAACACCTGGTTAAGTCACAATTTGACAGGGATTCACAAACACATACAATCATGATATTGTCGGAATCGTAAAATAGACCCTGTTTTTAACATAGATTGTTTATGATTAATTAATTGTTTTTGTCGTTTGTATTAACTACGCTTCGAACATTAAGTTCTATTACCAAAATGTCGCAGGTTGTAGATGTTCTATTGCGACTTTTGCGATACCCAGGACCACGGGTATGGCACCAACCAAGCTATGGTCATAATTGGGGAGAGTCTGAAATTCAAATTAGTACAAGCGGATCCTTGTAGCCAAGGGAAACAACTGTTGTGACGTTTCAAATAGATTTATCATCCGCGCACACTACTGAATGGCGAAGGGGGCACGGGTGGCCCAGTCGTCTAAGGCGCCGCGATTCGCTGTGCAGAGTTGCGTCCCTTGGGCACGCCAGGAACCTATGATTGTTGGTTCGAATCCCGGTTCGCCCCGATTATGTTTCTAGGTTTGTCAGCACCATACCCATGCTCGTGGGTTTCATCTATGTGGCAAACGTTTGAGACCTGCATCACTTCGGGCTTTCCTCCCACATTCAGCGGACTCGCCGCAATAAAACTGGAATACTGTTACAAGCGGCTTTAAACCCAACTCACTCACAGAAGGGCGATAGTGTTCACAGGAGAACGGACATGCTATTGATCAAACGATTTGAGGCTGATGAATACCAATATTAAAATGTGTTGTGACATTAATATTGAAATTGATACGATACTGTGATGGATTAATGAAAGCTTGACGGACAGATTGTGAAATTAATCTGTAGCCTTTACGTCGTGACAAGTCTAGTGGAAAAAGGGGGCGGTCGGGTAGCCTAGTGGTTAAAGCGTTCGCTCGTCACGCCGAAGACCCGGGTTCGATTCCCGACATGGGTACAATGTGTGAAGCCCATTTCTGGTGTCCCCCGCCGTGATATTGCTGGAATATTGCTAAAAGCGGCGTAAAACCATACTCACTCACTCACTCACTCTAGTGGATAAAGCACTGGGTTGTCACAATGAATACAGACCCAGGGTCGATCTAGTCAGAAGGGTGTCAAACAATTTTTCAACCATATCATGACCCACTGTACTCATGTGGGGAATCGAACCCCGATCTTCGGCGTGACGAGCGTCGCTTGAACCACTAGTTCACTAATGCATTATATACATTGAACTTACTTTAAGAATATTCATATTAATTTACAGATATAAGTTGATTAAGATATATTTCCTTAAAGGAAATAGCTGTGATATGAAAGCTATGACTATACCACTTCCGTTCTCTTTCCTTTGATGTATTAACAGAGAGTATTAACCGAAAGGAGACTCGTATGAAATCGTGTTTTACGTCACATCGACACGACAGTGTAAAACGATAGCTAAAGAAACTTGTTGCATTAGATTATTTTGTTTGTTTGTTGTTTAACGCCGCACTCAGCAATATTCCAGCTATATGACGGCGGTCTGTACACAATCGAGTCTGGACCAGACAATCCAGTGATTGACATCATGATGATCGATGGCATAAAACGATGACATGCATCAGCCAAGACAGCGAGCCTGACCGCCGGATCCCGTTAGTCGCCTCTTACGACAAGCATAGTCGCCTTGTACGGCAAGCATGGGTTGCTGAAGATGAAGCAATAACGTCAACAAGAAATGCACCTTATAAGTTAGAGTTCAACCCGATCCAAAACACAAGGAAATGAAATAGTACTTACTTCATAAAAGTGATAACCCCAACCTTCGAGATATCTCCTTTAAGAGTTACCCACGCCTCCTTCAGGAGTTCCTTGTGCTCCTCACTAAGATTCAAGACGGGCTCGTCTTCAATAGAGTTTCTCATCCTGCCACTGCTGATCGCCTTGTTGGAATGCTGGCCGCCATTCTGTTTGACGTTGTTAGCGCCCATGGCGTCTCAAGATCGGGCGGAGAGCCGCTTTAAATCGCAGAAATCGATTCGAAACTATCACCTCAGTAACAACAGACGTTCAGCTTCAGCAGATGTTCGGCTGAGCAGTACACTTCCTTAAGTTGTCAGTGTTGTCTGTTGAACATAGCGATGGGACAACCTTTGCCGAGAACAGGCTTGGTTATAAATGGATTCCTGTTTATGATCCCGGGTGTATATAGCCTTGAAGAAAAATCGATGATAAAACAAAAATCCTTGAAGTTGCGTGAACAGTCGAATATTTCAGTGAGTAATGTTAGTTTCACGTTGCATAAATACTGATTAATGGCACTGTTTCAACTTCCGTTGAGATTACCATTTTTTCAATATAATTATGACAATTAACAATATTTTAAGCATTAACGTCCCATGTTACGCGATGTTTTTTCAAAAGTAGTAGCGTAGCCATATGCTGTAAGAAGTCTGAAAAAAATCACATTTGTTTCAAAATATTTTTTTAAACTGGCATCAAACTGCATGTTTTGTGGACTGTGTTCGTGTCGTGGACAATGTGGAGAACACCGACAATTAACTGCGTCTTCCTCTGTAAAACTTCCAGAAACTTTCTTCCAACTGATAAATGACTCAGATCCACACAGACCTTGAAAATCACTCAATATTCACGAACAATATCCAAAACCGGCAGTGACTTGAACAAGTTATCTGTTATGAATCATCCCTTCAAGTATTGAATTCGGAAGGAGTATTGGTACATCATCATCTCAATCTGTGGAGCCCGAAACAGCAGCAGCAGCTGTTGATGTGGATGCGAATATCAGGCTCTTCCGTATCAGCAGCTGTATAAAAGTGGCATCGAGGTGATGTGTACGACAGAATACGCGGAATCGGTGTGTTGGATATAAAACAGAACAGTACTCCGGTTCCGTACGAAGAAGTCAATGGGATGGGTCCAAATCACTGTGATCTTGATCGATCTGAACTGTAGATCATATCAATGTTTATCAAGTACTTATAAATTCCCGATTGTACATGATATATTTTACCACTAAGTGACCTCGCTGGTTTGTTGGAGGAAGTCACGCACATATATATATATATCCTGTTTCGTTCGTGGTTTCCACCCACATCTATTAAATAATCCTCCACTTTCTAAAATTCAAACAGTTCTGGAATTTTCATTAACACAGAGATGGTAATTATCCCGAATTAAAAAAAAATATATTCAACTCCCGTGAAGATTATGTGCAAACAGCGTCTTCATTGATGCAACGTGTGTTTACTGACAGAGCACCCGCGTTTACAGTCCTCTTTCCTGTAGACGCTGAATATACAGCACTTCACCTTCGACACGTGCTCAGGCTACGTGGAACACTGCCTGTTTGTGAGCCCTTCGAACGAATGCTCAGTGAAAGCCAGCTTCTCTGCCGCTAAACGCAACGCGGTGTTATATTGATCTAGGGTTGGCCACTGGTTTGGGTGAAACAGACACTGGGGCTATAGTTGATATGACTACAGTATGATGATTATGAAAATGTCAGGTTGACGCTTGCGCTGTGTAACGACTAACTAGACCTGACGACGTGATGGGGTGCAACATATGCCACTCCGGCAGCACAGCTGGTGCATGTTGGCGCCAAGGTGAGGTGAGGTGAAATGGGGTTTAACGTCGCGTCCAAGATTATTGCACTTATATAGCGACGTGCATGTACGTGTGTGTGTGTGTGTGTGTGTGTGTGGCTGCTTGTACTAGTCCGGACTGATGCCGATTTATAGTGCAAGCTCACTGAGATACCATGCCGCAGTTTAACATGAATACCCCACTCAGACACAGTATACTGACTCCGAGCCGACCAGTCCTTGTTTTAGCCCCTTAATGCCGACAGGGTAACAACAAGTACCATCTTTTAACGTCTTTTGGTATGACGCGGCCGGGGATCGAACCCCGGACCTTCTGCTCTCCGGGCGGACGCTCTACCACTAGACCACGGAGGCGGTCATGCGACGAGGTGGTCACAACGGAAGCTTTTATAAGTGTGCTTCATGTGGGACGTAGATTTTGAATTTTAACTATTTTTTTAAAAAAGCCACAAAACCATTTCCATAATCATAAGAAGTCCCACTTGCATGGATCGATGCTCATGATGTCGATCACTGGATTCTCTGGATTATATTAATTTCTATATTTATGTAATTATTATGAAACAAACGTAAATACCAAATATGTTGGTTAATATATGAATAATTACTCATATTCAAGATATATTAAATAGGTCCGATGCACTAACGAACAGATTGGTATGTTATCTGAACTCATGAACGCCCATGAACGCATCACATGTGACGTCATAGATCCATGACTCGAGATGCAACATTTGTCTCGTGCAGGATTAGCGTGTAAAGTTTGTAAATCACGTGCAGCATATCGTGATAAGAAAAAAGGCACGCTGTGGTAACACTTGACTGATTGATAGTTTTCTCATTCATTGGTTCACATTGGAAACATCTCTTCTTAACGTACATACCGTATTCGACGCCCCGCGCCACGGCGATATATGTTAATATACTGGCTAGTGAACAATCCTATATTAATAAGCACCCCTTCCGATTGATAAATGTACACAAGGCTATTTATTCGTGCATAATACGTTTGTTATATGCACCCTTAATTATGGGCAATTAAATTCTGGAAAAATATATCTGTCGTTTATAAAGATTTCAGCATAAACCCCGAAATTTACGCTCTTTGAACTCTGTTGTTTTACACCAAAAAAATATTCTAATAAGAGCCCCCATTTATTATGTCGAATACGGTACTCCTTCCTCTATGTTTCGCGTTTCTTTTGATGGTGGGTATATAACATTACCATAAAATCGTTTGATTTACAGCATGTCCGTTCTCCCGTGAACACTATCGCCCTTCGGTAGGGTGCGCGGACGATAAAGCTCCCGAAAACGCCACAAATGGCTATACAGAGTTGTGTCCCTTAGCTACAAGGATCCGCTATTCCGAATTCGATATCCAGATTCCCCCGAATCATGGCTTAATCATCGCTTTAATTCCATCATTTTAAAGCATTAGTTCTGTTACAGTAGCGCGTTGATACCGCATCTGTATTGTGTAAGTTCCGTTACAGTAACGCGTTGATACCGCATCTGTATTACGTAAGTTCCGTTTAAGTAACGCGTTGATACCGCATCTGTATTGCTAAGTTCCGTTACAGTAACGCGTTGATACCGCATCTGTATTGCGTAAGTTCCGTTACAGTAACGCGTTGATACCGCATCTGTATTGCTAAGTTCCGTTACAGTAACGCGTTGATACCGCATCTGCATTACGTAAGTTCCGTTTAAGTAACGCGTTGATACCGCATCTGTATTGCGTAAGTTCCGTTACAGTAACGCGTTGATACCGCATCTGTATTACGTAAGTTCCGTTACAGTAACGCGTTGATACCGCATCTGTATTACGTAAGTTCCGTTTAAGTAACGCGTTGATACCGCATCTGTATTGCGTAAGTTCCGTTACAGTAACGCGTTGATACCGCATCTGTATTGCGTAAGTTCCTTTACAGTAACGCGTTGATACCGCATCTGTATTGCTAAGTTCCGTTACAGTAACGCGTTGATACCGCATCTGTATTGCGTAAGTTCCGTTACAGTAACGCGTTGATACCGCATCTGTATTGCGTAAGTTCCGTTACTTTAACGCGTTGATACCGCATCTGTATTGCTAAGTTCCGTTACAGTAACGCGTTGATACCGCATCTGTATTGCGTAAGTTAGGTTACAGTAACGCGTTGATACCGCATCTGTATTGCGTAAGTTCCGTTACAGTAACGCGTTGATACTGCATCTGAGTTGCGTAAGTTCTGCGGCATGAGCACAGCATTATCCCATCTGTGTCCCCGGCGTTGTCATGGCTGCAGGGAAGCCGGACTATGGACTATTACAATAAATAATATGGTAACACCACATGCTATCATATTCAGTTTAGTTGACAACAAAAACACTTGAACAAGGCGGAAAGTCTTAGTGGGTAAGCTGATCCACATTCCCGGGAATCTTGAAACATGTCCGCATATGGGAAGACTTGTTTGTTTGTTTGTTTTATGTCGATTACTTTATCATTGTTTGTACAAATCAAGAACGATGCATTTCATGTTGAGAAAAAAATACATTTATTTTTGTTATGAAAAAGGAACAAAATACTTTACTCTATGTCCCACCCCCCACCCCACTTAGACTTTCTATTACCTTGTCCATATTCTTGTTTTCGGGTCCATAACAACAGGTTTTGACCTTATTTAAAGTCTTAAGTCTTTTAAATATATAATAAAGGGACAAAAGCAGATTCAGCAATTCAAACTATGTTAACTACAAAAACTGTAGGAATACAAGTTCCGAATAATTCCCATTCAGTTTTAAGTAGAATATATTTACTAAACTTAGAACACAGGACTTGACGTCAAAGTGCGGCTCTGTCAAATTGCATTACGTAAGGGACATTCGGAGACATTCGGAGTAGGGGGTGTTCGTTTTTATATCGAAATAAATAAATAGTCCCCGAAAATACTTGCAAAAGATATTTATTTTTCAAAATGTTGAAAAAGAAGAATTTTCATCTGACAAAAATAACTTTGTGTAAATGGCCGGTCCCATATTATATGACAGAAATAAACATACACCACGAGATGGGTAAATTTCGCTGTAATATTATCCAACCGTGACACGATGGGCAATTTTCTTGAAAGTAAATACAACTGGCACGCCCTTTCCATATAGAGGAGCCATATAGATTTCGAACCTAATGGCAAAACTTTCCTTGACACGCATGACACATGTGTGGATTGCTGGTTAGTGAAGGTTTTCCTTATTCTCAAGTTTCCTTCTTGGTCCAACTTTTCCCCGTCAACAGATAAAACCGAGGCATCAGGTTTGCATCCTGAATTAAACATATGCTTGTGTGCAGTGTTTATCCGGATAGCTCGGGTCATCCTGTCTTGTTGGTTGGTTGGCTTGTTGTTTAACGCCGCACTCAGCAATATTCCAGCTATATGACGGCGGTCTGTAAATAATCGAGTCTGGACCAGACAGTCCAGTGATCGACATCATGAGCATCGATTCACGTAATTGGGATCGATGACATGTATCAACCAAGTCAGCGAGCCTGACCACCCGATCCCGTTAGTCGCTTTTTACGACTAGCATAGTCGCCTTTTACGACAAGCATGGGTTGCTGAAGACCTATTCTACCCCGGAATCTTCACGGGTTTCCTGTCTTGTAATTCGGTTGGATGAGATGTTTATGTTTACCATGTGCCTCACAGGCAGATTGGGTTGCATATTCACTGGCTAAGAATGAAAATGAAGAGCACACTGATCCATTGATAGATGTAATTATGTAGCGCATTGTGCATGTTTTACTGTGTGGGTTATGCATGCACATAATGGATAATGTTGGCATTAAGTATACACATTATGCATTATATTTCGATAATAAATAGTTATGCATTGCATTTATATTATAAATCATTATGCAATACATTTCTATTATAAACCATTCATGTCATGGCTTTAAGCTCTCATTGACTTTCTGAACACGTCAATATGACTTGGAGTCATTCTTGGCTCTGTGTATGTGTCAGTGTGGTGTAAGACCCCCTTTAACTCCCGTCACATTTCCAGTACTGATAAGCATGTCCCTGTGTGGCCTGGAAATACAACTCAATATGTATTATGACTTCTTTAATGCGGATGTTTGATGATCCGGGCGATTTCAATAGGACGGTACTGTCCGGTTTAATAAGGTTTTGGATCGCCTCCGTGGTCTAGTGGTAGAGCGTCCGCCCAGAGAGCGGAAGGTCCGGGGTTCGATCCCCGGCCGCGTCATACCAAAAGACGTTAAAAGATGGTACTTGTTGTTACCCTGTCTGGCGTTGGCATTAAGGGACTAAAACAAGGACTGGTCGGCTCGGAGTCAGTATGCTGTGTCTGAGTGGGGTATTCATGTTAAACTGCGGCATGGTATCTCAGTGAGCTAGCACTATAAATCGGCATCAGTCCGGACTAGTACAAGCAGCCACACAAACACTCACACGTACATGCACGTCGCTATAGTAGTGCAATAATCTTGGACGCGACGTTAAACCCCATTTCACCTCACCTCACCTCACCTCACCTCGACTCACCTCACCTCACCTCACCTAATAAGGTTTTGCAGTTCAAGAATATGGGTTCGCAAAGCAACACTTCCAGTTATGTTTAAAAAACAGGTTTGGTCAATAAACACGATACGTACGTACGTACGTGCGTGCGTGCGTGCGTGCGTGCGTGCGTGCGTGTGTGTGTGTCGGTGATAGCGTGTGTCCATCACTGACAAGGACGACGTATCGATCACAAGTCATGTGCATGTCTTTATGACGGTTTCCCGTTGGGG